GTGGTGCAATCAGAACATTGCGTGTGTTGAAGTTGTTTTAACGCAAACCAAAGATGCCTTTTAAAAAACAAGTTTACATCATATTATTATGCATGACAGTGCTGTATGTGAGGTAATTTAAGGTGGTTCTGACTAGTGTCGTCGGCATCTTCATATCTGGTCACATGGGCAGCAATCCACTCCCATCTGGTCACATGGGCAGCAAGCCACTCCCACAAAAGAGGCCACACCCACAGAGTAGGTTCGAACAATTTTTGAAACCCACCACTGCGATGGGCCAGAGGAAGAAATGAGTCAGGGCTATCAACTCTACGTCTCCTTAAATGCGAAAAGTCAGCTACCCAAGTTGTAATATTTTTGGTTTGGAAGTCTCCCACCACCACCACCTCACCTTTTCTCTGCTAAGAGTTTCTCATTCAGCAGCTGGTGCATTTTCTCCTCAATCTGATGGAGGCTATTCTTCAAGTCCCCAGGGGTGCTAGTTTGCCCCGAAGGACTCTTCTGGGACTGCAAACGACTTCCATCTTCTTCCAGCCTCTCCAGCATGCTTTGTTTTTCCAGAGAAAGTTCCTGATAGCCAATACAGAAAGGTTAAGCAGTGATCAGGGCTTCTTCCTTTCCCATGACTGACTTTTTGATGGGCTACCCTTGAAAAAGGCAACTTCCACAACATTAGAGTTGTAGGATTTAAAAGGATGGCTGTCATTGCAAAGCCAGCAAGGTCTCTAGGCTTTAATGCAAAATTTATCAAAGAGAAACCTAGCAGATTAATTTTTTATTAGAATAATACATTCATATTGATATCGAATAGGGACTTTTCTACCTGTCATGCAAAATTAAATGCACAGATGCTACACCAACAACAGATGCCAATTGTGAGATTGGAATAAAGTCTACCACATTCATGAATACAGAAAAAAGTGATACATTTCTGAGAAAATTTGCAAAACAGTAGAAAGCCAGTGTTCCTACTCCCAAGAGAACTCTTCAAAGGATCATTTCACATAGAGTACCAGACATAACAAAAATAAAGGCAACATCTTACATTCCTTCAGGTACACATAAAGGAACAGAGAAAAGAGAATTGGCAGGCTTGGCTTAATATATGTGATAACCTAAAGAGAATAGCTTGGGGCAGCTCAGCTGCTAAACTAAGCCAAATGATCTTCATACCTCAGGCAAAATTATATCCAAAGATCTATATCCCTGATAGTAAAACAACAATGACGGTGAAATCTCTAACCATCATCAACAGAACATCCGCAAACAGCAACTGCAGGCAACTTCCTCATTTAACGAAATACCAGCTTAGCTTTGAGATGGTTCATTTGCCATTAAGAAGAGGAATGGAGATTCTGTATTAATGAGCTGCACCCTTTTGTTACCTTTTTCTTTAGCTTAGAAACCAAAAACATTGAACATATAAAAAGCGAACGTGAGACAAAATCTCAAGATGCCTATTTCACTGAATAAGCCCAATATTTCTGGCAGGTAGGAGCTCCTATTGTATAAACTACTTCTTTATGTGCTATTGACTATGTAGTCCAATGGGCACCATTCATGGAAAAGAGTAGGCTGGCGAAAAGCATAAGAGTACAGAAGTGTGACAAGATGGGTGGGTGGGAAGAGAGGAAGAGAGGGAGGGAGGGAGGGAGGGAAGGAAGGAAGGAAGGAAGGAGGAAGGAAGGAAGGAAGGAAGGAAAGAAGGAAGGAAGGAAGAAAGAGAAAGAAAGAAAGAAAGAAAGAAAGAAAGAAAGAAAGAAAGAAAGAAAGAAAAGCCTTAAAAAGACTTCTGCCTAAAGGGTGAGATCACCTAAGACTGACAAAGCTGCTAAGTGGGTCCCTAAATGGAGCACCCTAACAAGGATGCTCAGTGGATCCAGAATACTGCACTTTCATTTGGGATGGAGAGATGGAATGAAAGAGGCATGGTTGACTGGAATCACGAACAAGCTGGGTTTGGAACCTCAACATTTCTTTGCAGCTTTTATTTGTAATTTCAATTATTTAGTTATTTCTAAGGAGGCCCTTTACTAGTTATTGGAGGCTGCCATCAGGAGAAAAACCAAGCACCTACTTCCAATGTCTTCTGTAATGCTTCTGTCAGAGTTTGTAGTCCTTTCTTTTCTTCTTCTACTCCTTTGAGGGACTGGGCAGTCATTTCCAGCTCTCTGTTAAAGAACCACGCAAAGGCCATTGAAGCATATTTTTCAACTCTGTGTTGTAATACAAGACTGAGGATGGGCATCCTTTTAATCATGTAAATTTTCAGAGAGGAGACATTCAAGATCACAATAGCCATGGTGGAGGTAGAAATTAAGGACATTTTGTTTTGTTTTTATTTTTAGAATATTGAGGGTACACTTGAGTGATTTATTTATTTTTAAATGGACGCCAATCTATTTTAAAGCCTATGCTACAGTTTTAACATACTGTATTTCCTAACTAAAAAATGGCAGGAAATCACATCCCCAAATGGTGGCATCACAATTTTAGAGAAGTCCAGATGGCGAAAAAAATATATGAAACCAACCAGATACATTCAATCCTAGAATAGCAAGTTGTATATCTTTTTTTCTGACATGGGTCAGGTCATATAGCTACATGGCCAACATGATGTTTAATATGCAGTATAACAGATAATACATAACATAAGAAACATTTTAGCTACTGAAAATCTAAGAACTCTTACAAAGACATAGCTTCTTTTTCAATACAAGTGACCTGATTTCATGATATGTATCAGCAAGCACCAACATGACTCTTTTGCTGCTATATCTTAAAAGTAGGGTAGTTTAAGATAAGGGATAGATGCAGTGTGGCATTTAGAAGAAAATGGGAAACACAAATGTCTATCACTTTCTTTTCCTTTGCTTTCTGTCTTATCTGAAGAAGAAAGGTCTGTGTATCTCTTTAAGTGGAAGTACCACATTCACAATATGTGGATATACTGTCTTAAATTTCTGCATTTGTCCACTGGGAGAAATTCTCATCTCTTTCCATCTCCTGGATTTAGGCTCAGGAAAGCCATTTCTATACTCCTTCCTCCACAGAGGTTCACCATCCTATTTCTGCATTGTTTAGAACTTACTCAGTCTAGTGACTGCCGCAGCAAGGTATGTGACCCACTATCTCCCATTAGTCAGCTGGAGTGAAAGAGGGTAAACTCTCATTGGCTCAGGACGTTTTGAGGTGAGAAGAATCAAAGATGATTAAGGTTGCGTTTTAAATGTTTGTCTGAAATGAGGGAGGGAGGTTGAAATCTTGACAGTGTGGAAGTGTCCCCAAAGAACGGATTTCTCCTGAAGATGGCACTCCTTTAAAATTGCAATTTTGCACAACATGTGGAAAATATTTCTCTCAGCCAACTCACAGCTGAAGTTGTGCAGATAATGCTAACTAGGCTGTGAGCCATATTTAAAACTGATTTACCACTAATGCCAGCTATTGTTTGGTTCTCTTGACAGCTGAGGGGCATTACCGTTTAATCTGCTCCTGTTCCCCTCGAAGATCTTGTACTACTTCTTCAAACTGCTTATTTTCTGCCTCCAGTACTTGATTGAGATGCTCCAAGGCCTTAAGAAAAAAGACAATAAATGCAGAATTCAAACGACTGCAGAGTTTGAACATTTACACAGCTATGTAGGAAGTACAACTTGCAGTAAATGTTGACACTAGTGATCAACACAAACTAAGATTTGTGAGCCTGCTGCATATGCACTTTCCCCCCTCACAGGTTGCTTTCTGAATAAACATTGGGGACTTTTCTAAAACAGAGTGCTTTGGAAAGCATTTTTTTTTAATGATGGGGAAGGAAAGACAGCATCTGTTTTAAAGTTGTGCAGCCACAACTGACATTTTTCAGTCTTAAGAGGAAAAGTATGCTAAGAAAGTAGACAGGTAATAGCACACTCTCAGTAATGGGATGACATAACTCCCTATCACACCTCATAATCACTAGGAGCTTAGTCTGTATTCAATCTTACTTGTAGCTCTTTGATCCTCAATGAGGAAATTGCTGTTTCAAAACAGTGGCTGCCTTGGGCTTCATTGAGCAGACTGTCTTCCCATTCCAGGATTGCTTTCACCTACCCAATACTTCCTAGGTTCCACTATTAACAACTTGATGGGATTTCCTGTGTTTCAGGATGCCTACTAACTAACAGCAAGTAGTGGGTATGGTGAGGTACAGGGGGTAAAGCACTACCAATCAATGATTACTCTTACCGTCGCTACTGGTATGCTGTTTGTGCACACGCCGGACGTGCGCTGTGCATGCGCCTGAGGCAGGGACTTGCTCAGGCACCGCATGCTGTGCGCACATGCGTAGTGTGCCTTTTGGCATAAATACAGCTATAGAGCGTGGGCAGGTGGGTGGGCCAAACGAGCCATTCTCAGCTGCTCCAGGCCACTACCGGTACGGCTGCACCAGGCTGTACTCGCAGCAACCCACCATTGCTGCCAATGCTCCTGCCCAATGCAACATCTCCTCCACATTTGTGATCTGGGCTATCTCTGAACATGGCCTAGTTGCTCCAAACAAATACTGAAGGTGGGGTCAAATGAAGAGGCAGGACTCAGAATAGTGAGTAAACAGCTCTTTATTGCAGGCTTGGTACATTTTGCTGCAGGCTGTCAGACAGCTCCCTCTCTTAAAGGGAGCTGTCAGGCAAATCAACCATTCGGGTGGCTCTATTTCCCCGCCTGTGGTGTCAGCCAATGAATTTAAACCTTCCTGCTTTCCCGCTTGGAAAGCGAACCTGAGTGAAACCTACATCCCAGGCTTCACTCTCTATTAACATATGTAACAGATATCATGCTCAAAACTAGGCTGCTGACTGGACACAATGATGAAGGAGAGCATGGGATGAAGTAGCCAGCAATTGCAAGGAAATTCTGTCCTCCTTGAATAGTATACAAGACAATGACAGTGATGGCAGGGAAAGACCAAGAAGCACAGTTCTGATCTCATGGCTGGTGTCCTCCCAACTAATAAAAGCAGTCAAAAGTACAAGCACGTGAAATTCCTTGTCTGCATAAGCAGCAAAAACATTGTAATATACCCGTTATTTGAATTAGACAGCAACCTGTTTAGATGGTTGGGCTATTGAAGAAGACCCATGGGAGAAGAAAATGGAGGAGGCAGGAAAAAGATAGTGGTCACCAGAGCTGCTGCCATAACTGCAACAGGGGCTAGACTGACACCCCAAACTGTTGATGACTAACCATCCAGAAATACCTGTCGGATCAAATGCTAGTGGTGTGATCCATCTTAGCTAGAGAGTTGCACAAATAGCATAGAACTAGAGATAATACTTACTGTAAATAGTGACAGAACTAGCAACTGACAGAACCTGGTGGCTCCTTTTTTCCCCTCTCAAATTGAATGTCTATGCAGCATGTGACTAGTATTATTTCACAGGAGAGTTTATTTTTTTAAATTCAAGTTTAAAAATAAAATAAAAATTTGTAATCTGGGCAAACTGTATCAAGAGAATTGCGAAAATACTGCTTTAAAAACTGGAGCAGCAAAAGACAATTTTAGCTGCCTCAGCTATGATCTGTAAATAAAAATTGGGTTATTATCTAAATTAGGCAACAATTGGTTCCAATAATGAGTCCAATGCATTTACCTCTCCTCAGCAAAATGGGTCTATGAGATATTATAGGATTTACTTCCAGGAAAGCATGGGTAGAATGGCAGGATGCTCAAGGATTGTGAATGTCCACATCCTCCTCCACCAGATGTCTCACCACTCAGACTTCCTCACTCAACTTTTCTGCATGTTGGCCCCAAACTAGGAAATCAGCTCCACGGGAAGGCCGAAACTACTTTTACTGAGATTGTCTATGATATAATACACGCAGAATCTTGCAAGTTGGATTGTGTTGTACAGTATCTCCTCCCCCTTCTTACACTCCAGTGAATCAGGATGGCATCTGCCTGAACCACTTCCAAATGTTGTTTCATTTCTTTGAACTTAAAAAAAAATCAGCACTTTTTTGCCTAGGCAATATGAATTCTCCCGCATATCTCCCTCACTTTCCTTGTTTTCTATACTGCAGGATTGAATTGCCCCTTCTCCCTCCCCACAAGTGAAACGTAGGAGGAGGGCAATGGAGCAACAGAAAGCTACATTTCCAATTCTCTCTTGAATGTGAGCTGAAATTATATGCCAGAGTGGGAAAGGAATTATTCCCTTATTTTATCACAAGGTCTCAACCTCAATGTTCACCCAGGTGTCGCATTTATTAAGAACTAGAAATGTTGCTCTTCATATAATTGGGACACTCTTCTCCAACTCTCTCCCTCCATTCTGATTGTTAAGCATTATCATACATTTTCATACATTTTCAAGAGTAACCTATTTGCAGAAACCAAACCAAGAGAGGTAGGCAATATCCCTGGGTGAAACAAAGGCAAGATTACAATGATAATACTACTCCAATTTGTTCAACATGAGAAAGAACCCCTAGTCTTACAAATAGGGACATCATGTTATTTCAAGTTGACTGGCAAATACTATGATTGGCAAATAGTCTAATGAAAAGCCCATGATTCCCAGCCAGGGTATTAATTTGGAGGACAATAGGTTGGAAGAAAGGTATCTAAAGTCTAAACTTTAAAAGGTGAAAAAGCAAGAGGAGGCCAACTACACTGTAATTCAGTGGAACTATTGAGATAGATGATAGATATTTCATGTATGTAAGTTAAGCAATTAAAATGAGGAAATAAAACCTCTCTCTGTTCCCTCTGCAGGCATAGCTCCTCTGTTTCTTCCATCAGTTTATCTGCAAATAGACAATGATCAATGAAAGCCATCACCATCGAAGTGATAATTGAAAATTATCAGACACAGATTACATGGATCTTGAAAAATGCAGCTTTGGTTCTTGTACAGCTTAATGTTCTGATTTGAACTTTATGAAATAGCTTCAGTAAGCTTGTTTTTTGTTGCATCCATAAAAAAGGACAGCAAAGAATAGCTTGCTCTGCTACTCATGGTTTTCCCTGCAGAGCTTTAGCTAAAACCAATATGCTATAATTTGCAATTCTCTCACCAGCTTCATCACCTTTACTTAACAGATGAGAGTAAAATCACAGGATATGTGCTAAATTAGGCCAACAGCAAAGTAGCGGAGAAGGCTTTGATTTATTAAGAGGTTATGAGGGGGAAATGGGCATTAAAATAATAGTGTTCCTAGCAATAATGTGGATGTTGCCTACAAAACAAGTATGGTGAAATATTTGGCTACCCACAAGATTGTTTTGTATCTATGAATAATGTCACTCTGCTTCGAGTTAAAATACAAGAGAAAATATGAAGCAAGAGAAGAGCTACATATGGGGGAATATTGATTGCACAACCTTTTAATTGGTTTTTCCCCCTAAGCACGTTTTGTTTTCCTGTCACATGAAGATTTTAGTTGGAAATAGGAGACTATCTTAGATTATGGAAACCATCTGCATTCCTGAAATTCTCATTAACTTTGTCCTCCTTTTGTTTGGCCTCATTAGCTCATGCTGCTTGATTAAGGTTATTAGTTATACCAGCTTAAAGATACAAAAGAGCCAATCTTTCTCAGCAACTATAAAAGATTGCTCTGTGGGACACATCAGCATGTCGCAATCCGATTTTCCTTCAGAGATTTTTAACTACAATTCCCATCATCCTTATAACTATCCATGTTGTCTGGAGCTGTTGGGCATTTTAGTATAAAACCTCTGGCGGGCACCAGGCTGTCTATGCTTGGAGTAGACCTTACTCTCTAAAGTGGTACATGTCTCATATACTGAAGTTTTCTTCAGAAATGTTATTCTCTCCCTTTCATTTCCAGGCCCTCTGAATTGACAGGGAGGCCTACACCAGTCTTCCAGTTCTCCATTATTAAATAACATCTCCCAGAATTCAGAGCCAGCATGTAAAGCCAGGTTAGGGAAGGCTGCTCTATAGTGAAAAGCAACAACTGGAACGAAGTTACAAAGCTTGACCAAGATCTGGAACCCTGATTGCACAGGGGAGAGGCATAATCATTCTATGGAGAACTCAGCCTAATGTAGTTATCTCTCATGACAGATCTTAATTCACATGGGGAAGAGGCTAAGAGTCTTCAGATGCACATCACTGCTCACTTGGCATAAAAAACACAATGAAAATTCAGCAGAGGCAACAAGTCTAACAGGATTGTACCAGCATGGACAAGAACAAGAATTAATCAAACCATCAAATTAAACCTTTATCATGGCCAAGGTTGGGCATAAAATCATAGGGATTATATATTGTTGATGTGAAAAAGCTTGGAAGTACTGATAGTTCTCGATTTGTGACCACAATTGATCCCCAAATTTCTGTTGTTAAACAAGTTAACTGAGTTTTGCTCCATTTCTTGCTGCAGTTGCTCAGCGAATCACCTCAGTTGTTAAGTTACTAACACGGTTGTTAAGTCAATCTGGCTTCCCCATGGACTTTTCTGGTCAGAAGGCCACAAAAGGTGATCACATGACCCCAGACAGAGCAACCATCATAAATATATGCCAATTACTATGCATCCAGATTTTAATAACTAACCAATGCCAGTTGTAAGTGTGAAAAATAGTCATAACCCACTTTTTTCCAGTGCCACTGTAACTTCAAACAGTCACTAAATGAATGGTTGTAAGTCAGGGACTATCTGTACTGAGAAACCTTGGCCAGGTACTGAAGGAATGGTGATATGAGACAGGGAGGGTTCCTTCCCAAAGCTGGAGGGCCGGCACACCTGAGGAAGCCTTGTCTGTCAAGACCACTTCCTAAACCAGAGACGTGCAGTCAGGGGAGGCAGAGCCTCACCACTGTCATCATGAAAAGAAAAAAAATGTAAAAGGAAAAAGGAAGGGGGATTGGCGGGCAGATTCGGAAGGGAATTCCCTTC